AAAAAAAAAAAAAAAAAGAAAAGAAAAGTTATTTAACAAACACATTGATGCACTATTTACTGTCATGCTTTGATGTTTATTGCCTAGCACTTGTTCCTTGTGGGAGATGCTGGGATATTTTAAAAAGACTGTAACCTTTACTAATTGTGGTTTTAATAAAAATTTTCTTGAAAAAACAAAAAGGAAAGGAGCCAGGCAAAAGCTGCAGCAAGGGGCAGATGGACTTAAGCAAAAAAAAAAAAAAAAAGACTTACAGCTTCATGTTTCTGAAAAAGGTTGGGTGAGACTTCAGGCATGGCTTGATCTAGGGGCTCAACATCACTAAAATAGCATGTATGTCTGGCCCTCAACTTGCCTGCTCTGTGCTGGCTTAGATCTCAGACAGGGTCTTTGTGTAGGATAATAGTGTGGCTACCAGCACTTCTAGTCTCTTGTCCTACTAGCTTTCAGGCCAGTGGAATGAGAGCTTCTCTTACCCAGTTCTGCCGGCCATGGGCACATCCCACAACAATCACTAGGGGCAGAAGGGAGGGCTCTGATAGGCCAGGCTTGGTGCACCTGTCTGCACATACAGTGGGAGAAGTAGTGCTCTCCCACTCCCCACCCCACGAGGTGCATAGAAAGTGGGAGAGGAGAGGGGAGCTATTGGGTGACAAGAGTCACCCTGTCTGTCATAGCCTCATTCAAGTCAGGACCATGGCTGGGCTTGTCAGGAAGGGGACTTGGAGCTGGGATCTGGGGAGGTCTTTCTGACAGCCTGGGAGGGCGTTCCTGTGCTTCTGGGCTCCAGCACCCCTTCCTCTTGCAGCAATTGTCCCCAGCCCCGGTCCCTGCAGAGTTGCTGGTGCCTCTCACGTACATCTCCCTCGTGGGCTGCAGCATCTCCATTGTGGCTTCACTGCTCACAGTCCTGCTGCACTTCCATGCCAGGTACGCCCCCGCCATGGCCTGGGCCTGTCCGTCCCACTGCAGTACAGCACCCCCCGCCTCTTTCCCACTTGGTGGAGTGGGGAGGGCTCTGTCAGGGGGCAGGATCTGGGAGGCAGAGCAGCCTTGAGGTGTGGCTGCTGTGAGACCCCTGCTCCCTCATCCTCAGATTCCCTGTCATAGTGCATCTATGAGCCAGGGGTGGCACTCTCTGGGCGATGTCCCCAGGCCATGGAGTGCCATGCTTGCACCCACAGGAAGCAGAATGACTCCATAACACGCATCCATATGAACCTGCACGCCTCTGTGCTGCTCCTGAATGTCGCCTTCCTCCTGAGCCCCATGCTGGCCGTGCCCCACGTGCCCAGGTCTGCATGCATGGTGCTGGCTGCCACCCTCCACTACACGCTGCTCAGCTGTCTCACCTGGATGGCTATTGAAGGCTTCAACCTCTACCTTCTCCTCGGCCGCGTCTACAACATCTACATCCACCGATATGTGCTCAAGCTCTGTGCTCTGGGCTGGGGTAAGCGCAGCTTGCCTCTTCTTCTGGCAGACCCCCAGCTGGGCAAGGCACTCTTTTCTCCGGTCCTCTCTTCCTCCCCCACCTCCTCACTGGGACCACTACATGACCACCAGCTGCCAACCCTATCAACACCCACCACCACTTTCTGCATCACACCAGGTTGGCACCTCTTCCCCCTCCAACAGCACCACCACTGCTGGCCCAACCCCTTTATTTCTTATTTTCATTCCCTCACTAGTTCCCCAAGCCTCTCCCAGTAGCTCCCACCACCACCATTCTGTCCTAGAGCCATCACTAACATCGCCTTGGAGAAGACCCTCCTCCAGGACTGCCAGGCAGATGGCTCTGAGACAGGACCACTTGGCTGGAGGCTCAGTCTCCTCCCTGCCTCCCCTGGTCCAGTGGAGTTCTGGGCCTCAAGGACCTAGAGCCAGCCCCTCTTTGGGCCTCCTGAGCCTTTGTCCCTCTCTCAGGGCTCCCGGCCCTCCTGGTGCTGTTTCTCCTCGCTGTCAAGAGCTCAGTGTACGGACTCTATACCATCCCCTTCTCCACCAGCCAGGAGAATGTTACCGCCTTCCAGAACATGTCCATGTAAGTGCCCTCAGGGCTGTAACGGGCCCCCTGGCTCTAGCAGAAGATCCACACGGGCCTAGGGCTGGACACGTGGGGTCCTGCAGGCAGGGCACTATCTGTGGGGCAAAGAGGCAGCCGTGGTTTAGACAGGGGGAGGTTTGTAGGGGGCTTTGCCATGTCCCTTCTGCTGGATCCTGAAAGTCCCTTGCAGGGCCAGGCTTGTGTTCAGTGTTTACCAGTTCTAGGAAGCCAGCATCTGCTTACCAGCTTCCCAGGCCACCTGCCCTTCCCCCTGTCCTCCAGCTCCCAGGTGCTGCTCAGCCTACACTTGACTCTATCTCTGCCAACCTCTTTGCTTGCCCAGATTATGCCTTGGAGGAACAGAAGTGGTAGCAGAGGCAGGCCCTGGGAGCCCAGGGCAGGCTCCGCTGTTTTCTTTTATAGCTTCTGTTCCTGTCCCTGTGCCCTAGGACATTAAGCTTTTTATCATAATGCAACGTATCTGTCAGCCAAACATAGACTAGCATAAGATACCCCCACGGACTCATCACCAGCAGTTGGCTGTGGGATATTCATTTTCCTTCTTGGGCTGATACAAGCTCAGGATCACTAAGAGCTGACTCTGTGGCAGGCCCTGAGTACCAGCCAGCTTAGTTCTCACTACATGGGTAGGTCCTAGAGTCAGTCCTATTTTACAGTTGGGGCAACTGAGGCCAAGACAGCTTACAAACCCCACCCAAGTTGCCGGGCAGGCCAGAGCAGAGCTGGGGTTTGCTCTCAGGCAGGCTAGCTCCAGAGTTCATGCCCCAGCCCCAGCCCCAGCCCCTCACTGTGAGGGTCGGGTTGGTGTCTCAGATATGTGATTTACGACTCTCCACAGAAGTATTTTGTCATATAATAATGTGATGTGGACAAAACAGCTTAGGGGATATGTCCATCAGACAGGAAGCATTAATGCAGGAAGGTCAGAGAACTCCACTCTAAGGATTGGCTTCTCCTGGCCCTTCCTTTCTCTTCCTTCTCCCCTCGGTAAACGATCCCCCTGGGTCTTGTGACTTATTCTTCTACATTTAAAAGTTTTTTTACTACATATATATGTCTTCCTAAAGACAATTAAAAAATACCCTTAAAAATAATTTAAATGTCCATAGATAGGACACTGGATTCATAAATTGTAGTAGAGCCACCGCTGCTAGACTATTATCCAGCAGTGAAAATGAATGATCCACAACCATACTCATCAACTTGGATGAACCTTAAAACTAGTGTTCGAGGACCCTTGTGACTGCAGGGGCAGGAGCCCATGATGGGAACCGTGGGTGACTGTGACATTGGGCACAGGTTCTGGGCTCAGACACTTGGGCTTCAGCTCCCACCTTTGCCCCTTTGTGTCTTACTAGCATGGGTTCCTGAGCCAGAGCCTCAGTTTCCTTATCTGTGGGATGGGGGTGACTGTGACCCTAACTCATAAGGCTGTCATGGGGATTACACAGCTAATCCATGCATAGCATGTCATAGCGGGGCCAACTGGATAAAAGGCAGCACCTGTCTTGAAGGCATCCTGCACAGGCAAAGGCCTGAAGGACCCAGGCTGGGCCACCGTCAGGCCTCTCTGGCTCTGCACTCAGGGAGGCACATGTCGGCCCAGTCTAGGTGGGAAAAATCTCCTGGGGAGGAGCATTTGGTTGCACAAAAATAGTGATAAGAAGGTGGCAGCCAAGTGATGGAGTGGAAGGGAATGTTTCTAGGAAAGAGCCCAGGCCAACGAATTGGTGGAAGGTAATACAAGCTGGCACTGGGCTGGCCATGGAAGGGGAGAGGAGTTACACAGATGTGGAAAGGAGAGAGGGAGAGTTTTCAAGGGGATAAAAGCATGGACGCAGGCCAGGCACAGTGGCTCACACCTGTAATCCTAGCACTCTGGGAGGCTGAGGTGGGTGGATCGCTTGAGCTCAAAACCAGCCTGTGCAAGAGTGAGACTCCGTCTCTACTAAAAAGAGAAAAATAAGCCAGGCATTGTGGTGGGTGCCTGTAGTCCCACCTACTGTGAGCTAGGCTGAGGCCGTGGCACTCATGAGCCTGGGGCAAGAGTGAGACAGTCTCAACAACAACAACAAAAAACCCAGGAACCATCCAGTTCTGAGAGCTCAAAAAAAGCATGGAGGTATGATACAAACCGCTGTGACTGGAAAGGTGGACATGGTAGAGCTTCAGAAAGGGGATGAAGGTGACAGGTATGTCCTATTGTGGTGGCTTGGCTGGACAGCTGGGCGAGGGGCTTTACCATTGTGCAGTTTTAGGGAGGAAACAATGGGGTCTTAGCCAGGAGACTGGGCCAAGTTGGAGATGGGCCAGAGGTCAGAGTGACTCTGGTCTCCCTGGCGAGCCTTGTACTTCACTCTCCTCTGCAGGTGCTGGGTGCGGAACCCCGTGGTACACAGCATCCTGGTCATGGGCTATGGTGGCCTCACGTCCCTTTTCAACTTGGTGGTGCTGGCCTGGGCACTGAGGGCCCTGCGCAGGCTGCGGGCGCGGGTGGAGGGGCAGGGCGCACGGGCCTGTCGGGACACTGTCACTGTGCTGGGCCTCACCATGTTGCTGGGGACCACCTGGGCCTTGGCCTTCTTCTCCTTTGGTGTCTTCCGGCTGCCCCAGCTGTTCCTCTTCACCATCTTCAACTCGCTCTACGGTAGGTGGTGGGCAGCCCAGAGGATGTCTCAGGGCAGAGGAGTGTATAGCTGGTAGGATGTTCAGTGCCAGAGGGCTTCAGGTAAAGGAGGTGGGGGGGTGCTGAAATCCAGTCCACAGTTCCACTAGCCCACTGGCAGGGGGCTGCCTCTGCCCAGAGGAAAGGGTGCTGCCTTCTAATTTGCTCAAAGTGCACCCTACAGACAGCTGCAGCTGGGTCCTCCAGCTCCTAAGCTTTGCCCTTGGGGCCCCCAGTGGTAAGAGATTCTGGGAGTTACCCATGGGCCCCAGCGAGGCTCAGCTCACTACAGCCAAGGAGGTCGGAGATTCTGGTTGGGGAGGCGCCCTGCTGCCCCACGATGCTCCCACCAACCAGCCTTCTCCTTTCAGGTTTCTTCCTCTTCCTGTGGTTTTGCTGCCAGAGGTGCCACTCAGAGGCAGAGGCCCAAGCAGAGATGGAGGCCTTCAGCTCTTCCCAGACAGTGCCATAGTCTGGTCTTCCAGGCCTGGAGCCCTCAGCCTCTCTAGCTACCTCCAGACCAGGGCCCTGGCTCCCACTAAAGAAGGCGGCAGGCCTGCTGCTGGACATCCGAGGCCACTGTGTCCCCCTGGGAGCCTTTTCTACCTCCATTGCCTCCTTAGGCACTGAGGGCAGAGTGTTGTTCTCCTGTCCCCTGACATTCTGTTCCATGTCAGGGCCAACCCCACCTGGGGCCAGCAAACTTTGTCCTGGTACCTGGGCCCAGCTGGCCAGGCATGTGTGCAGAGCACTAGCCTGGGCATCAGGAGGCCATGTTTCAAGGCCTGGCTCTGAGTCTCACTGTATGACCTTGGGCCTGTCATTTCTCACAGACCCTCAATTTCCACATATGTGACATGGGGATAAGTGCTCAGTCTTGCCTAACTCAGGAGCTTTGTAAAGACTGAATAAGATCAGTGGGGACAGTGTCAGGGTAGAGTGAGAATTCTACAACTTCCCCCTGTCTGTTGGGGGCAGGATCTCAACTAGCCTGCCCCAGAAGCACATGCTTGGCCCTGCTACCTTCCTCCTGGGGAAGGCCAAGTAGCATCCCAGCTTAGGACCTCCAGCCCAATGCTGAGAGACCCAGCCAGTGTCTGGGACCTTCCTAGCCTATGCCTTGGGCCTCTTTTCCTTTAATTCTTCAAATTATAATGACTCTAAGTCCAAGCCTATCCTCCCAAAGAGGGGGAAGTCCAGCCCTGCTCAGAGGGTCTAAACTCCAATACCACCATCACCCAGAGATCCGAAGTTCAGTTCTTTCCAGAGGCTCTTTCTGCAGTGCTCCTTTATCCCCTGTAGGCCACTTAGATCAGCAGGTCAGAAGGGGAGGCCTTTTCCCCCTCCAGCTGAGCCAGCTTGGTCCCAGTGACTGACTATTTGATGATTGGGCAGGATTTAATCCCACCTGGTAGGCATGAGGGTGGGATCCTAAATCCCAAGCTCAGACCACAGTTGCAGAGAATTACCATTGCCCCTAAGACCTGCCTGTCTGGCCAAGTGGGAGTCAACTCATGAAGTCAGTGCTTTTCCAAGGATGAACACCAGGAGGCGCTATTGGCATGTGCTAAGAGGCCATCGGCTTCAAAACTGCTGCAGTCACCTTCTGCGGACATGACGCTCCAGCTGGAGAACCCCATCCCTGCAGGACTGTGCCTGCTGAGTGACCAGCAGGAGGAAGAGCAAGCCCCATTCACACAGCTATTTTTCCCAATGCAGCTGTGTGCTGTCACTCTCGGGGGGGCTGTGCCCCAGGGTATCTGGCACTAGAGAGGCACAGGCCACAAGACACTCAGGGTCCCACCCAGGCCAACAGATTTTAGGACCTTGAATGCCACAGGAAAGGAATTGGAGCAGGAGCTCCCCCTGGAGAAAAGTTCTCCCAGAGGCATCCTCTGCTCTTCTGAACATATCTGGATGCAAATAGCGCTTCACCAGGTGCTGAGAGGCAGGTGCAGGCTCTGGAGCCAGACTGCCTGTGCTCACAAACCAGCTCTGCCACTTGCCAGGTGTGTGACTGTGGACAAATCACTCAACCTCTCTGTGCCTTAGTTTTTCTATCTGTAAAATAGGAGCAATAATAATACTTATTTTAAAAATTAGACGAAAGAATCCATATAAAGAGGCTTGGCACAGGGTAAGTGCTCAATAAGTTATTAAAATTGTTATTGTTAGTATTTTTGCTATTATTATTAAGAGTGTCAACTGAGTCTCAGAGGATACCTGTCTGAGCTCCAGGCCCAGGTCTGTGCACCCTGATAGGACCAGCCCCTCCCTAGGGACATTTTATCAAGCCTCAGTTTCTTTCCCCAGAGGGGCCTCTGCTCCAGCCTTACTGGCTTTCTGCGGTTCTAGGGATATTCCCCACATGGTGCAGCCTCTAGCCTGTTGCCACAGGTCCACCTTCCAATTCCCCTGTCTTCTGATCTCCTGAAACTCCTGATGGTCATTTATACTGTCTTCTATGACATCTCCCCACTCCCCCATTGAGAAGGCCTCTTTCCCATGCTGACTGCAGACAGAGCCTCCCTGCCCTCCATCAGGGTCATGGGTGGGCACTCATCAGAGTGGCCCTGGTTTAACCCAGTTCTGAGTTGCATCAGGCTCTCTGGATGTTGGGTTAGGTTACTGAACTAATGAGGGTGCTGAGGGATCTGGCAACATTTAGCCTTTCTTGTGGGCAGCTCCGGGGAGAGTGACCTAGCTCCCACTGTGGCTGGTCTGCAGCCCAGTGAAGAAGGACCTTGCCTGGAAGCCCCCTAGGCCAGTCCCTCACCTCTTAGACCCCACCAAGCCCAGGGCTGCCCGAGGGAGAATGTGACCACATTGACATGGGATGAGTCTGATGGTTCCAGGAAACAGCCCCAAGCTTGTGGCCCTGAGCCCCGTTGGGGTCCATGCTCTGGGCAGGGACCACTTCCTGGAAATGCCTTACCCAAATGTAGGGGAGGGACTGAGGGAGGCCAGGTCCCTCCCAGGTGCCTCCTGGGCCCCTCCCGCTCTCTTCCCACTCCCAGCAGCTCCCAGCAGAGTCCCAGCCTACCCTAGATGGGGCCCTGGGGTCAGGGGGCTTCCATACCAGGGGAGAGGATGGAATGGGGTGGAGTCTGGGAATTTCGTTCCAGGGCCAGGGCCTGTGAAAGGGCACTGGGCAAAGGGATGACAAGCAGATACCAGAGAGGCCGTAGATTAGGAAGTTTCTTTTCTTCTTCTTCTTTTTTTTTTTTTTTGAGACAGAATCTGAAGCTGTCACCCTGGGTAGAGTGCCTTGGTGTCACAGCTCACAGCAACCTCAAACTCTTGGGCTTAAGCAATTCTTTTGCCTCAGCCTCCCAAGTAGCTGGGACTACGGGCACCTGCCACAACCCCGGCTATTTTTTTGTTGTTCTTGCAGTTGTCATTGTTGTTTAGCTGGCCTAGCCTGGGTTTGAACCCGCCAGCCTCAGTGTATGTGGCCAGCACCCTATCCACTGAGCTACGGGCGCCACCACAGAAAGTTTCTGGGTCCTTTTGTTAGATTTATTTCAGAAAGGATGTGTGCATGAGTGTATGTGTGTGCATGTTGAAAGTAGGGTTGCCAGAGGAAATATAAGATCCCCAGTCCTCAAAATATACTAAAATATCATTTGTGGTTTATCTGAAACTCAAATTTAGCTGTGGATCCTATATATTTATTTATTTTTGTTTTTGCTGAACCTGGCAACCCTAGTTGAAAAGAGCATTGGCTTAGGAGTCTGGGGTGTGGAGTCTTCACTCTTCAAATCCACCCAGCCTGTGCTGATGGAGAAGCCTTCTGCCCATCACATGAGCCTCGCTGTTCACAGCTGATGCCACTTGAGGCCTTTCCTCCTCATGTTTCTCCTGCCAGCCAAAGCCACCACCAGAAACTCCAAGGGGTCTGCCATAGGGGTGCTCCACCCCTGCTAGCGACCTGCAGCAGACCTAGCCTCTGTCTCCTACACAGCTTCAGTGCTGGCCTCCTTGCCTCCGCACTCCCAGTTCCAACTTGACCCAGAAGCCAGAGGGAGTTTTCTATCCTGCAGACTGCCCATATCCTCTCCTAGTGAAACCCTTTCATACCCTCCCCTTTTGATTGCTAAGCTCCACAGAAGCTTAGAAGGCTGAGGGGATCTGGCCTGTGCCTCTCTTTCCGGCTCCCTCCTCATCCTCCTCCATCCTCCCGCACTGAAGCCCTTGCAGGTCACTGAGTAGCTTCCTTCTCATTTTTGGGGGCCGTCCTCTTTGTCTGAACACCCTCGCCTGTGCTTTCATTTGTGGAATGATGATGACATGTCCTTAAAGCCTCAGCTTTGCACATCCCCATTCCCCTTGATCTGGACTGGGAAACGGTCCCTGGCCTCCAAATCTAGGGTGAGGCCTTCTTTCAGCTGCACGGCCCCCTGCCTTCCCCCATGACAGAAGGTGTTTCTCTGTATTATGACTGCCTTTGTCTCAGCTGCCAGATGGAGAGCAGTTAGCTGTCAAGAGTCCTGGTCGGGCATTTTATAGAGTGCCCCTTAGTTGGGATTTGTGTGATGTTTTTCTTATGAATTGACTGGCATTACTAATTTGGGGGAGGCAGAGCCCAGAGATGAAGGGGCTTCCTCATCACACCGTATCGAGGGTACGTGCTGTGCACGGGACTTATCACTGTGAATGCTAATCGCAGGGAGGGAGAGTTTGTCAAGTTTATGAGGGTACTTCTGAAGGTGACAAAAATATGTATTTTGAGAGTAGTGGTGATTGCTTGCTTTTTAGCAAAATTCACAGACCTGTTCATTTTAAAAATAAAGTTTATTGTGTTTAAATTTGTGTCAATAACCTTGGCTTTTCAAAATTAATAGAATTGGCCAGGCATAGTGGTTCACGCCTGTAATCCAGGTACTTTGGGATAGAGGCCCAGGCAGGAGGATCACTTGAGCCTAAGAGTTTGAGACCAACCTGAGCAACCCCATCTCTACAAAACAATCTTTAAAAGTTAGCCAGGTGTAGTGTGTAGTCCCAGCTACTTGGAAGAATAAGGCAGAAGGATCACTTGAGCCCAGGAATTTGAAGTTGCAGAGAGCTATGATGATGCCACTGCACTCTAGCCTGGGTGACAGAGTGAGACTCTGTCTCAAAAAAAAAAAGAACAGAGAGAAACTGAAGAATGCACTATTAGCATCTGATATTTCAAATGCTTCTCTTCACTACTAATAGAAAAGCTGAAAAAATTAACCAAGATATAGAAGCCTTGAACACCATTAGTAATGAATTTGCTCTAATGGACAATAATTGAATTCTGTGTCCCACAGTCTGGTTCTTCTGAAACAATCACTGACCACTTACAAAAATTGATTTTATACCAGATTAGAAGACAAATCCCAAAAAGTTTCTAAGAATGGATGCAGGTTGAATAGCTCTTACCCAAAAGATTTGGGACCTGAAGTGTCTTAGGTTTTAGATGTTCTAATATTTGCGTTATATACTTAGCAGTTCAGCATCCCTAACCCCAAAATTCAAAATCTGAAATGCTCCAATAAGCATTTCCCATGAATGTCACCTCAGGGCTTAAAAAGTTTCAGATTTTGGAGCGTTTCAGGTTTTAGGTCTTCAGATCACAGAACATGTAAA